GTGATGGTAGAGGCTGCTGCGTAAAGAGTCCGTCAGTATTAACTCATCCATTCACACACATTCACACACTGATGGTAGAGGCTGCTGAGTAAAGAGTCCATCAGTATTAACTCATCCATTCATACACTGATGGTAGAGGCTGCTGAGTAAAGAGTCCGTCAGTATTAACTCATCCATTCATACACATTCACACACTGATGGTAGAGGCTGCTGAGTAAAGAGTCCATCAGTATTAACTCATCCATTCATACACTGATGGTAGAGGCTGCTGAGTAAAGAGTCCATCAGTATTAACTCATCCATTCACACACATTCACACACTGATGGTAGAGGCCGCTGAGTAAAGAGTCCATCAGTATTAACTCATCCATTCACACACTGATGGTAGAGGCCGCTGAGTAAAGAGTCCGTCAGTATTAACTCATCCATTCACACACTGATGGTAGAGGCTGCTGCGTAAAGAGTCCGTCAGTATTAACTCATCCATTCATACACTGATGGTAGAGGCTGCTGCGTAAAGAGTCCGTCAGTATTAACTCATCCATTCATACACATTCACACACTGATGGTAGAGGCTGCTGCGTAAAGAGTCCGTCAGTATTAACTCATCCATTCATACACTGATGGTAGAGGCTGCTGCGTAAAGAGTCCGTCAGTATTAACTCATCCATTCATACACTGATGGTAGAGGCTGCTGAGTAAAGAGTCCATCAGTATTAACTCATCCATTCACTCACACTGATGGTAGAGGCCGCTGAGTAAAGAGTCCATCAGTATTAACTCATCCATTCACACACACTCACACACTGATGGTAGAGGCCGCTGAGTAAAGAGTCCATCAGTATTAACTCATCCATTCACACACACTCACACACTGATGGTAGAGGCCGCTGAGTAAAGAGTCCATCAGTATTAACTCATCCATTCACACACATTCACACACTGATGGTAGAGGCTGCTGAGTAAAGAGTCCGTCAGTATTAACTCATCCATTCATACACTGATGGTAGAGGCTGCTGCGTAAAGAGTCCGTCAGTATTAACTCATCCATTCATACACTGATGGTAGAGGCTGCTGCGTAAAGAGTCCGTCAGTATTAACTCATCCATTCATACACTGATGGTAGAGGCTGCTGAGTAAAGAGTCCATCAGTATTAACTCATCCATTCACACACACTCACACACTGATGGTAGAGGCCGCTGAGTAAAGAGTCCATCAGTATTAACTCATCCATTCACACACATTCACACACTGATGGTAGAGGCTGCTGAGTAAAGAGTCCTGATTCTGTATTTCAGCCCTGTTCAGAACAGGCTGTTTCTGTCTCGTCACAGATTCTGCAGCTTCTATTTCTTGATTTCTCTCTTTATCTGAAGTTATTTCTGGCGTTTTGCCGCGGCGTCACCTCGAGCGTTTCCTCCGGGAATCATTGAAGAGTTTTTTCTGTTCTTGTGATTTCTCCTCGTCCGTCTTCAGAAGTCACAGATGAGGAGGAAAGTGACGATCCGTTTATAGAAACGGGAGAGAAAAGAAGCTAAATGCAGAGACATGTTGTTCTCGCTTTAATGAGTGTTGGAGCTATTTAATTGTTGTTAGAATTAGTTTATGTATTTAGTTGACTGATATTTTGTTTATTTAATTATTCTACACGTTTTCTTTATTTAGAATAGATTTTGTGTAATATTTTCTTTTGCTAGTTGTTTGTTTAGTAAATGTAGTTTTGCATTAGTATTGTTAGGTATGTAACACTGTGGGCACCAGAGGTTATTTAGGTAAGAGGCAGGTAGAGGACCAGCATGCACCTGGGTGGGCAGCAGGAGCCACCATTTTCTTTGTTCTTTTGATTGCTTCTTTTGAACCAAATAAATCACCAGAAAACCGCAGAGCTCTTGCATGGATTACAGGAGTACATCACATTCCCATGATGCATCAGAGGCATTTGTTGTTTGATATTAGTTTATTTAGGTTTCTTTTTGTTTTTGGACAAATAGCCACTACAGTGAGTGAGCGTTCTTTCTTTACCGCACTAAGGAGTCCTGAATGACTGGACAGAGTTACACAAGTATTTAATAAACCTTTATTAATATTTCAGAAATATTAAAACCTCAGGACTCGTGTCCACCTGGCGTTCGTTTCTGAGTGCCAGCGTCTTCTGAAAGGCGCTGTTGACGTCACCGGTGCTCTTTTCAAAATGTTTGATATTCCCCGTATAATTTAGTCTCCTACAGATCGTGTCTTGTCTCCTCCTCGGTCCGTGTCTGATCGATCTCAAATATAAAACATGCAGTGAAAGTAACGGAGCAGTGTCGGTCATAAAGCGGTCGTTATCAACAGACTGTTGTCATGGAGACAGGACGGACGTGCAGCACTTTCTTCTAAGAGTGTAAACGCTTCATTCAGTCGCTCCAGAGAGGACAATGTTGCAGAGGAATTGTGTCGTTCTCATATTTGTTTGAATAAATGAACTTATATTTATCAAACTACAGAGGTCACATCTGAACCTTTACAGAAAAACACATATTCATTAAAATATTTCAGAGGATTGTTTGCTTCTTAAAGGGATACTTCACCCATTAGCATTAATCTTTGTATCATTAGAAATCTGGTAGTATTTTTGAATGCTCGTGCATCCCGCCCTCATTTTCCCCTGAGATGTGAAATCTTTGTATTTCTGAGTCTGAAAAGGAGCTTCCAGTGACGCTAAATGACCATTTTTGCGTCACTGGAAGCTGTTGCGGTTAGCGGGATGAAACTACAACGCTAGTTCCTCATATTTTTGACCACTGAAGCTACAGACCAATCACAGATCAGTGGGTGGGAACTCACTCCCAGAATCTAAACTTAACGTCCGCCATATTGCTTGGAAGCTAAGCTAACAGGCTCTATGGAGAAAGCTGATAATGGCCAAAAAATATAAATATAACGGCGAGACGGCTGCTGCCAACAGGCCGCAGCAGCCGAGAAACAAGACCGGCCTGTCGGCAGCAGCCGTCTCGCAGCTATATTGCCGCTGCCAGCTCAGCAGCCGAGACATAAGGCCTGCCTGTCGGTGAGGACGAGGAGCCGGGGCCGGCTGCAGCGGACTGGTAGTGTCTGTGCTCTCACTGTTTGTCTATGACCACAGACATAGAGTCTGTTTTCTGACAGGAATTTACAAGATCAATTCTGGAAGAAATCTCTGAATCAGTTGAGGAAACGGTCTCGTGTTGAAGTAAATATGTCTGTAAATGTTTTTATTTCTATATTTCTCCTGCTATATTGTATATTTTGGAGAAACTGTATCGATCGAATTTCCCTCTGGGATTAATAAAATGTTTCTGATTCTGAACTAGAGGACCTTAGTGGGAGTGGCCTGTGGTGCTGTGCATTCTGGGATTTGGTGTCTGTCATCAAAAGACACTTTCTGTCTTTTCTCGGTCAAGAAGGCTCCAACTTCAAAATGTATTTCACATTTCTACATATATGACCCAAAGTCAACACAGACTCATGTTTCAACGGGTGAAGTATCCCTTTAAGGACTTTTCTTCAAGGTGATCTGAAGTTTGTATTCGTCTTGTTGGAGAGATTAAAACGCATTACCTTGTCAGATATTGTTTTTCTCACCATCTGAACGACACATCGAGACACTTAATGTGTTTCCAGTTGGAGCCGGAAGAGAACCTTAAAATCCTGCAGCTGTGGAGTTATTGGACTGTGACGTCCGAGTGGACTGACTCTCTCTCTCTCTCTCTGCAGCATGTCGGAGTCTGAGAGAAGTAGGCCAAAGATCGTCATTCCTCTCGGCTTAAGCTGAAGAGAAGCGGCTCAAACAAAAGGCGGCACAGAGACAACAAGTGTGGAAACAAAAAAAGACACGAGCGGGACCAGCAGTTATCAAAGATCTCCTTCATTGTTTTAATAGTAGACATTGTGCCACAAAAATGTCATGTCCGCAGCCACAAATCACGTGCCGAGATTACTACTTCCAGCTATGCATCATGTCATTCGCTTCACTTGCTTTTCTCTACACAAATCACTTCTTACATTTATGTATAAATATATACAGGTTATAGATTACTCTCCAGCTGGGGTGGTGATTTGGACGCCTCCGGTCGTGGTTGTGCTGTCGGTTGAGAAACATTAGCAGAGAGAAAAAAAAAGAACACGCGGCGTCTCCCCGATGTAGCACATGCTTAACCAGTCACCAGCCGAGCACGCACGGCGCCCGACACAGGAAGCGTTATATACAGGAATGTTTTCTGCTATCATACAATTCTTTAACACGCCGCCGCTGAGGGCGAACGGAGGGGAAGATGGCGACAACACGAGAGCACCGAAGGCATACATGTCGTAAATCTCCTGCCGCAAAGGCACTGGCACATCGTTTAGTTTAAGTTTAAGGGGGCGCCGCCGTGAAGTCGGAGCGGGGCGACCGTTAAGCGGGAGGCGCAGTTTGAGCCGGCCGCTTCATGACTGCAGCTGATCACATGCAGAGTCGAGAGGGGTGGGGCTGGGGGGGCATGTGATCAGCTGGGACATGCGTGCTGCTGGTGTTTAAGCATGTGCTTCATCTGACGAGCTCGCTGATTCAAACACAAACGAGGAGACAGGGAGGCGCTGCGACTCGCCGCCAAATAAAGACAACTTTGTGTGGTTTTTTTTAATAACAGTTTTAGAAAAGTGACTCGTCTATCAAACTCAGAAGAAAAAAAAAAAAAAAAAAAAAGAAGGAGGGGGGGTCGGGGGCGAAACGATAAGAAAACAGAAAATAAAAAGCAAAGCTGAATAAGACGTGTGCTCTCATTGGTTAACTTCACACGCTGCTCTAAACGCTTTACATTGGTTTCCAGTATGAGTGTGTTTCATAAAGTTAGAAGAAAAAAAAAAGAACCGCCCAGAGTGTGTTCGGTGTGTGTGTGTGTGTGTGTGTGTGTGTGTGTGTGTGTGTGTGTGTGTGTGTGTGTGTGTGTGTGTGTGTGTGTGTGTGTGTGTGTGGGGGAGGGGCTTACCGTCCTATTGCTGACTTTAATAGGGTTTTCTTTTTTTAAAAGGGGGGGGGGTCTGGTGTTGTAGCTGCACACACAATTACAAACCGGTCCGCTCAAAGTCTTCTTCCTCCTCTCTCTCTCTCTCTCTCTCTCTCTCTCTCTCTCTCGCTCTCTCTCTCTGGTCGACGCCCCCTGTGGAGCATGGTAACGTTGAGACTGGTCGTGGGCTCGGGGGTGGATTCAGGTCGTGGCTGTTTTTTTTTTTCGTTTTTCTTCTTGGGGTCTCAGCAGCAGCCTCCGGACGAGGTGTTGACCGGCTTGCTCTGGATCCTGACGTTGGACTTCTCCGAGGATCCGGCCGTGGCCCCCGGGCCCATCCTCTTCTTGATCTCCGCCGCCATGGTCATGAAGGCTTGCTCCACGTTGGTGGCGCTCTTGGCGCTGGTCTCCAGGAAGGGGATCCCCAAGTTGTCTGCGAATTCCTGGCGAGGAGAAAGAGAGGAGGAGTTAAATACGCTCAAACTGTGCGCAGAAGATTCTTTACGGGGAGGCGGTTTCTAACGCCGCTTCAGCCGGGCGCTCCGGTTCACCACGTTAAACCCTGATCCCGCTAACTAGGAGCTACAGCCTTCAAGTTACTCTCTGTACATCCTCAGGATATTTAAACATGCCGCGTTTTGTGTTTCCTGTCTCACAGGAAGTGAAGATTCTTTTGACCTATCAACGGGCTGCAGTGTGTCTAGCTCCGCCCTCTAGGGTCGGATTGGTACGCTTGGCGCCCCAACAGAGGGGTAGTAAGTGTTTTTGGTACCATTACCAACTGAAGTGAACCGGAGCGCTCGGTGGAAACGACAGGGGGTTTAAATCTGGTTGAGCACGCAGCAGCAGCATCACGGCGTGCTGACTTGCTGACCTCTCACCTTAGCTGTGGTGTAGTCCACCACCTTCTTCGTTGTGAGGTCACACTTGTTGCCTACTAGCAGCTTGTTGACGTTCTCGCTGGCGTAGCGGTCGATCTCCTGTAGCCACTGTTTGACGTTATTGAAGGACTCCTGAGGACGGGGAAGCAAAAACAGCATGAAGAGTGAGAAACGCCGCCGTCTGCTCAAAGAGTCAAAGGTTCCTGTTAAACATCACGCGGTCTGCAACAGAACCTGCAGAAATACATTCACAGTTTTTGGGGTTTCAGAGGGAACGAGTTTCCATCGTGTTCATCAAAGTCCACGATGGTCAGTAAGGGCGTTTTCACATTAGGCACGATTCCACGGTACGAGTACGGGACACTTGTGTTCACACTGATTAAATGAGACGGACTTTGGGGTCAGGCGTACTCAGATCCGGGGCCCCTAGTGCGAAACCCCCCTCAGTGTGAGGCTGAGTTTGTGATCCTGCTAGCTACCTGTACGCTCGTCGATCTCTCCGCTCACCTGTTGTCTTTTCAGTAAAGAAACAACACGTCTCTTTGTCTCTCTGAGGAGGATTTGTTGTTCCTTCTGTTTTGACGTCATGTTGATAAAGAGAGGGAACATACGATCAGGAGTCTGATTGTTGTGTTTTATTTTGAAATTGACCGTACGCTCTGTGCGTTTCCTCGTCTGACTTCCTGTCCGGATCGATCTATTCTGTCTATTCTTGACGCGTGTTTACAGCGAGCTCAGTTGAAAATGTCTGTTTAAAAAAAAATGTTGCTTTAGGACTGTTTTCTGACCCAGGACCAGCAGAAACTTAAGACTGCTATAAAGACTTGTACACACTGTGTGCTGTCTCTTCAGTCGATTTGATGTTCTCGTAACTCAAGTTGCTGTTATACTTTCCATCCACAGAGCACTTTGGTGGATGCAACAGTGGGATTTGTAGTTTTTAATTTTCTAAATAGATATTAAGTTTTTAAATAGATATAGCAGAGCATAGAGGCGCTGCTGGCACGCTCTGGAGACGGACCGCGGCGCTCGCTGTAGAAACACGGTCATTGAGTAGAGTGACAGCGAACGGCGTTGTAGTGCGGCCTCGTGCCTTTCATCTGATATTGCTTAAATATATATTTATTTCTTAATTATTTTGATTTGTTAAATTCCTTTCTCTACGCACGATTCTGTCTGGACTTTTCTGTTTTTTTTCCAGTCTCATCCGTTTAATCTCTTTAATGAGACCGAAAGACTCAACTAACAGAAATTCACCTTTTTTTAACAATAAAGAGGAGTAAAGAAGAAGAAGTCTCGCCGGTTGTTCTGCTGTGATAAGACTTTTCAAATTTGCAGAGCTCAGAGAGCACGCCGCGTGTCGGCTCCGTCTGAAACACTCCCTCACTCCCTTAATGTGGGCGAGCTACGGGGGAATCCAAACATCCAAAACTTCAGCTAGGCGAGGCCGCTTCCCATGTTCTTCTACTGAATCAGAGAGAACAGCTTTTCTACCCCGATCGATCCCTGTGTTTGTTCCTTTTAAACGTATAGCTGCTGAGCGTCATGTCTGAACAAACCAGATCAGGAGAATATCCGGAACAATCCTCCAGAAATGATCAGGATATTTTCCGGAGTGCAGATGTGAAAATGGCTTCTGATGACATCTTTTTATTTTTTTTTTGCATTGCTGCGGGTCACTCCTGGAACAGAGACCCCGGTCTCAGTGGGTCCTCCCTGAAGGTCAGGGTGACTGTAACCGGGCTCTGCTCAGTTCCTCCTCTTCTGTCTGAGGTGTTTGTTGATTGGATCTTTTCCTCGCCGTGTAACAGCTTGTGTCATGATGTTCTGACGTCTCCTCTGAAGCACTCTGAACCGCCTCGCTGCTGAAATGAGCTTTATAAATAAACGTCTCTGCTCTTGTTTTTTGTAAGAGGATATTCATAGCTTTCACGTGAGGTCACACGCTTGTGGAAACGCCCACCTGGTGGGCAAGAAAGGCTCCTTACCGCTGCACGCTACGGAGAAGTAATTGGTCTCAGTCTCCACCTACCTGTTTTATTCTGACCGGCGAGGAGACGAGCGGAGGAGGTCGTGGGTTAACGCTGTTAGACGCTCCACGGTCCCCGAGAGGAAACTTAAGAACAGACTCCTCCTCATCCTGACATCACAGATTATGTTCACCTGATCTTAACATTCCTGCCTTTAACAAACATTACTGAGAACACTGACTGACATCCTGATACTATCGTTAGCTAACGTTAATGAGCTAATGTTAATGAGCTAATGTTAGCTTATTAGCACTCAACGATGCTTGGATGATGAAGCATTTCTCGCTATTCACTTCTCAAAAAGCAGCATGACCGACCCAGACTCATCAAAACTCTGTATGTTTGTAGACTTTCATCCTACAGCGGTGTAAGGAGACGGATTCACCTCGAAACATGAGCATCATGTGAAGTGACGTTCTGGTGTTACGGTTAAAAGAGTGACCGTGCTAACTGATGACTTTCAGACAGAGTGTCCTAATGAACGCCTCTTTGTTCAGTGTGTGTATCATCATAATGTCAAAAAGACTGATTAGGTACGTTTTAGTGAAAGCCAGACAGGAGAGGCTTTTGTTACGACTCATAACGTCCGACGCATTCAGCTAAAAGTCACCAGATAACAAGGTCACTCTTTAAACCGTAACACCGGTGAGGACTTTGCTGTTTCTACTGGTTGAAATAATGTCCCATGTGCGGTGTGAGGGTCACAACTCACAGTTTATCTTAAAGGCACAGTGTGTAGATCCCTCCACCAGGGGGCTCTCAATCAAAACAAAAACAAAAAGACGATGTCGAGGCTGGCGGGAAATCACGGGAGTGATTGGCTCTTGCTTTTTCAGGAAATCAGACGGAGGCGCACTAACATGGACGTTAAAATAAACATTGTTAATGTGGGAGAAACACCGACCTGATCCGTCACATCATAAACCACGATGATGCCGTGAGCTCCTCTGTAGTAACTGGACGTGATGGTGCGGAAACGCTCCTGCCCAGCCGTGTCCCACTGAAGACACACAAAGAAGAGCTCGTCACCACACACACACACACACACACACACACACACACACACACACACTTATCACCTCACACACACACACACACACACACACACACACACTTCTTAACACCACACACACACACACACACACACACGCTCTGCTTACAATCTGCAGTTTTATGGTCTTCCCGTCCAGCTCGATGGTCCTGATCTTGAAGTCCACGCCGATGGTGCTGATGTAGCTCTCTGTGTACGTGTCATCCTACAAGACAAGAACACACAAACACATGAACAGGAAGCACCTGGGAGGTAGATAACACACATAAACACATAAAAAGTCTGTTATGTAAAAGCGGCTGAAACACACTTACTGCAAACCGGAGAAGGAGACAAGACTTTCCGACGCCAGAATCACCGATCAGGAGCAGCTTGAATAAATAGTCACTGTGAGAGGAAGAGAAACTTTAACGTCGAACGATTCTGACAACAACTACATTAACAGACTCATGTTCAGTTTCATGGAATAAATGTTGGCATGATCAGATTATTTGATGAAGACAGAAATGGGGGTCTTTTAGTCTTAAGTTTGAAAGGACAGTTCACAGAGTAGGAAATCCAGCGAGGGGTGGGGAATGACATCCGGATTTGAACCCTGCATGGAGAACTATAGCCTTCGTACATGGGGGAGGACCTAACCTCTACGTCCTCTGCGCCCTGATTAACGCACGTTTGCAATTCCATTATTTGGCATTTAAAAACACAAATTGTCTTAAAGGTCTCTTATTCTGCTAAATCCTCTTCCCCATGTTCCTCTAACTCTAACATGTGTCTCTAGTCCGTCTACAAACCCCCCAATGATGAGAAAAGTCCATCCTCTCCGTCTTCTGCCTGCTCCACTTTTCAGAAAATGTGTGCTCAAACAGGCTGTTTGGAGATTTTCCCTTCATGACATCACAAAGGGCAGTAGCCCCTCCCCCAGGTGGGTGACACTCCCACAGCTAGGTGTTTGTTCTGCCCTCTGAGTCTGCCTTCTCACCGTAAACAATAGGACATGGAGAGAGAAAGACTGAGTACACCCAAGCCCTTCTAGAGAGGGGGCGTGGTCAGACACAGCTCATTTACATATTTAAAGGTACAGACACAGAAACAGCCTGTTCTGAGCAGGGCTGAAATAGAGGGGTTTATAGACATGATCAAATACAGGATCAGAGTGGATTTAGAACATGAAACTTCACACACATGTTGGTTGAAGAGGACACCACTGCAACAAAAGTCATCCAGTATCGGGTAACTTCTGTTTTAATCGCCATCGAAACATTGAAAATGTTTTTGTAGAATTTAGAAAGTGTACAGGAGTCGCCTGCAACTTGTGATGGATTCTGTTCAACACGAGTCTTTGATTGATTGATTGATTAAATTTATTTCAAACATATCAGAAATACAAAATGAAAAGCACAAAATGTTCAAATTGTTTCACAAAAAAAGAAAAAGAAAAAGAAAATTACATATATTCAATTGATAAGCCTGAAAAGGAGCAGGAAGAAGTATAACACTTATTTAATCCGTTTCCACAGCTCAATAATTTATATTTATTAAATTAACTTCCTGTGTTCCTTATAATCTGCTCCAGCTTGTTTTCCCTCTTCACCGTAACTTTGCTAAATGTTGTTTATTACTGTTGATTAATGTTGTTATTTAATGTTTGTTATGAAAACAAATACAGAACATTTTGTTAATGAGTCAAAATAAGATTTATTTGTTGTGTCACCTTGAGAACTGGGAGCTCAGGTTGTGAGATATTCTTATTTACCTGCTCATTCACAGATCAAAACACTGACTCACACTGAAAACAACATCAATAAGTGGCCGTAACGTTGGTTCAACACTCAGACTTGTGTAACACATTATTACCTAACTAACTCCACATCGGGACAACATTCAGTAACTTCCTGTTTCAGGTCGAAATAAAACATTTCACTGACAGTTTAACCAACAGAGAGGAGCTCACGTGTTTGTTTTATTGTTTTGTTTACAGGAATGACCGTGTCAACAACTGTCACTCTGTTTCTAACTGAACAAACATCTCAATAACAAAATCCTCCGGTGTCAGCTAACGCTACGTAGGCTAGCTCCTCCGTTAGCATGCTAGCCGTTAGCCGCTTCTGCTACTTGTATTTAAGTTAGCGAGGACACATCGCAGCCGGGCTACAGATGATTCGTCCATTTAATCGGTCATATATAGACAGGAACATGCTGAAAAAGATGCGTTATGTGCTCAACATCAACGCTGTCACTCGACTGTGCGTACACCCTGCAGCTCGCTAAGCTAGCAGCGAAGACAAAGCAGCTGACGTTCATTTAGCCCGGCTAAGCTAACGTTAGCTTAGCTTCCCCCGGCTAACGCTGACAGCTCACCCGGACCTGTCAAAAATAAAAACCCGACATCAAGATCCAAACTTACTATTCTGGGTTCATGGTTGCCTTCAGGTGATGAACTGTCGTTACTGTGAATGCAGCTGGTCACTTTAACCCGCTCGATGGTCTCGTAGTTCAGAAAAGACCGTTTATTTGTCAAGAACTGGCTAAACTGGTTGTCGCAACCAGAACAGCATAATCGAATCAAATATGGCTGTCAGCAATACCTACCCGGAAATACCAGAGCGCAGGAATCATGGGTGTTGTAGTCTTTTGGCAATGGGCGTTTTCGCAGCTCTTTGGAACGAAAACAACACAATTTGTAAAACAAAAGATGAAAGTTGAACATTATTTTTCAGCTTTTCAAAGAAGGTTTCACTGAATAAAGTGAGCAGGGGGTTTTTTTGGTACAAATTTACTATATCATTAGCAAGTTATTTATGTGTAGGCTTTTTATGCCTTTTATAGATATAGGAATGGAATAGAATAATGAATAGAATAGAATAATGAATGGAATAGAATAATGAATGGAATAGAATAGAATAGAATAGAATAGAATAATGAATGGAATAGAATAATGAATGGAATAGAATAATGAATGGAATAGAATAATGAATAGAATAGAATAGAATAGAATAGAATGACTTTATTGATCCCAAACTGGGAATTTGTGGCATTACAGCAGCAGGTTGTCCAAACACTACAATATGAGTAAAAAACACAATATTAGCAAATCTAAACACAATATAATATTAAACACAAAGTAAATAAGTACTAAAAATATCAAAACTAAGAATGTGAATATATACAACCAGGATTTAACTAAACATTACTAAGTATTAAAAATGAAAGATTAAATGTAAATGTGCAAGAACAGAGTCATAAATGGTAGTAAATTGAATATGGAAGATTAAATGTAAATGTGCAAAAACAGAGACAGAGACAGTGGATAGAGTCAGAGATTGGAGAGAGAGAGAGTTGGGAATGCGGGAAAGGTGCCATTGGTCAGATTTGAACCTGGGCAGCCTGCTTGGAGGCCCATAGCCTCTGTACATGGCGTGTGCGCACTAACCACTAGGCCAGGGGTTCCCAAACTTTTTAGCCAGCGACCCCCAAAATAACGGTGTTAAGAACTAGGGACCCCCTCTGTCCCTGAAGGTGGTTAAAACATTTCCAAACTATCCAAATAGTGGTGTTAAAATAGCCCAAACGAACACAACAGCCCAAACAGAAACGCTAGTTTAACCTGTTTAACCAAGCCTGCTCCCAGTAGATCACAAAACACACACACACACACACACACACACACACACACACAACACACACAACCGGACAATTCACTCTGACATTGTGCAATAATAACGTTATATTAATGTTATATTATGCTTAACCATCCACTTTGTGCAATAACATGTTACACTTTATGTGCACTGTGTGCATGTCTGTGTTACACTGAATATTCTGACTACACTTTTGTCAATTTTTTTTTTTCTTTTTTTCTTTATTTCTTTTTTATCTATTTTTTGTACATTATTAATTTTTCTTTTTATATTTAAATTGTACTGTGTTCACTTTTTTGTCTGGAATCTTTGCTCTTTGCTGCTGTAACACTGTAAATTTACCCGTTGTGGGATAAATAAAGGATTATCTTATCTTATCTTAGAAGCAGAACACAAATAATCTCTCAAACTAAATACATTTTTAAAATGTTTTTGTAAGGAATCTCGCAACCCCCCTCCCAGTGACTCACAGTTTGGGAACCCCTGCGCTAAGCTACTGGCACCTATATCCCTTGCAATTTAACATGAACACAGCTTCTCATAACCTTTAGTCAACCCACCTGCAAACATTAATGCAATACATTTTTACCTTGTCCTTTACCTGTGAGTGTCTAGAAGAGGATTAGGGCGAGGCAAATAAATCATAAGAGAAGGAAGAGTTTTTGTCATTATGCACTTCGAGACAATAGTCAAAATGTTTCACTCGACATTCAAACAATCTTTGTAGTTCACAGAAAACAACTCACATCCAATATTTGTTCAATCCCCTTTTATTTCTTAAAATAAACATGTTACAAACAACTCAAGAAAAACAGAATTTTGTATCATCACACCAAATCTCAAACCTCTTATTTTAACAAGTGCAATGATTCAAAAACTCTTTATTAAATTCTCTTTATGCTAAATTAAAAAAGTACTGAATATATATATATAACCTGAACACTCGTATAACCCTCTCCAGTAAAAACATTTCTAACTATAATGGTTGTATTCAACATGTTGTCATGTTACCACAATGTAAGGGAACACCTGACAGTGGAAGAAATGTCCAACATTTTATTTTAAAGACTTTCAAATATGACATTATATTTAACCAAATGCAATGTGCCAATCAATCAGAGTCAGAAAAAAAAGACTAAACACAGCGAGCAGATCCAATGATTATGAACCTTTGATTAATGCTGCAAGCCCACACAAAACTCAAATGATTATTCTACATAGTTTGAATGAAGCCGGGTGTACACTGTGCGATTTCAGGCCGATTTAAACATGATCAATGAATCGTTCGGCTGATTATGAAGTCAGCCTGATCGTGCGTGTTAGTCGTGCAGTGTACTCTGACGCATGACGGCTGGTCTCGGCACGGTCGGCTGATTTTATGGCATGTTTAATATGTTGCTCGTATGACTGCACACACTTGCACAATTAGAGCAGAGCCACGAGCCGATTCCCCTACTTTAGGACTTTTTTTCCTGATTGTGTCTGAAGAAAAAGTGAAAGACTGTGTCCAAAATCACCATGGCAACAGCAATCATGCCTGCTTACTGGGTCTTCCCCTTCTGATCATGAAAGAAACGCTGGCAGAAAATAGACCTCCAGGGAATATTTGTTCTGAATTCGCTGCTAGTTAGCTTGTGTTTATCTGTGATGCTGAGTGTGTGTGTGAGAGAGAGAGTGTTTTTGCCGGTGTGTGTATTTGAGCTGTGCATGAAAGAACTGAAACACACACATATCTTCTTTCAAGTCAGTCTTTGACTAACTGGCGGCGCGACCGGTCGCAGCGGCCCCTCTCTTTACCGATAGAGCGGTGTTTTCTTCTTTTTCTAACTTTTCTTTTGACTTTCCTCACTTCCCTGTGCAACTGGCTGCTGGACTTCCTCAGCAAGAGGCCTCAGACAGTGCGGGTCGACGGCAGCACATCAAAAACCATCGTCATGAGCACTGGGGCCCCCCAGGGTTGTGTGCTCAGCCCCCTGCTCTTCACGCTGCTGACCCACGACTACGCTCCATCCTTCAGCAGCAACCACATTGTGAAGTTCGCGGACGACACAACAGTGGTTGGTTTCATCTCCAACAACGATGAGACGCACTACAGAATGGAGGTCAGCCAACTGGCCACGTGGTGCAGAGACAACAACCTCTTCCTGAACGTCGACAAGACCAAGGAGGTTGTTGTCGACTTCCGGAGAGTCCCCACTCCTAAACCCCCACTGACCATCGACGGTGCTGCTGTGGAGAGAGTGAGCAGCACCAAGTTCCTGGGGGTTCACATCAGTGAGGATCTCTCCTGGACAACCAACACCACATCACTGGCCAAGACGTCCCAGCAGCGCCTCTACTTCCTCCACAAGCTGAAGAGAGCACGAGCCCCCCCATCCATCATGTGCTCCTTCTACAGAGGCACCATCGAGAGCATCCTGACCAGCTGCATCATTGTGTGGCTTGGGAGCTGCACTGCTGCCAACCGCAAGACCCTGCAGCGCACAGTGAAGGCTGCTGAACGGATTATCGGTGTCCCACTCCCCTCTCTTCTGGACCTCTACGGTACCCGCCTCACCCGCAAAGCAACCAGCATTGTGCGTGACCCCACCCACCCCTCACACAGCCTCTTCAGCCTCCTGCCATCGGGTAGACGGTACCGCAGCCTGCGGGCCGGCTCCACCAGACTGGGGAACAGCTTCTTCCACCAAGCTGTCAGGAGGCTTAACTCTCTCCCCTCTCTTCCTTCCCTCCCCTCTGCCCCCACGAACACTGGACGTTGAAACCCCCTCCCGTTTGCCACCAAGAACTCTGGACTAAAAACTCTGAAGCTAACATCTCAAAAGTACACTCAGTTTACTGCACATACTGCACAAGTTTACTTTTTCTTTAAATTTTATTTTATTTATTTTATTTACCATTTTGTACCTTTTGTACAATTTAGAATTTATTACTGTAAATATTATTTATCTTATTTTACCTCATTCTGGTTGTATTGCACCGCGGGACGGAGACAAATGAAATTTCGATTCCACTGTATGTCTGGCATATTTTGAAATTGACCATAAAGTTGACTTTGACTTTAACTTTGATCTTTAGACAACTGCAAATTTTCCATCCCAATTTAATGAAGTGTGAGCTCTCAGGTCGTGCCAGACGATCGGACTGTAAAGTGTGAGCTGACAGTGTTAGCTGGACCCAATAGGAGAGAGGATCAGAGGTGCAGAGTTTTTACCTCCATCATTAAGATAGGGACTAAAGTAAGGTAAGAGTTTCTCAGTGAAGGAGCAGTCTGTAAAGGAGTAGATCAGAGCTGCAGAGTCCACGTCATAAAAGGAGACCAGATCCTCCTCATAATCCACAAACACCCCCACCTTCTCAGGACGACACTTCAGAGAGAGACGGACTGGAGGGTCATCAAGGGCTGTGTACTTATTTCCATTTCTCAAACATATAGACCACAAACTCTCCTCAGGACTCAGTGTGATTAATCCCTTCCTGTTGATGGACTCTCTGACCACTCCTAAATCCCAACCAGTCTTTCCTTTAACCTGAACCTCGAAGTAAAATCTGCCTGAAGAGAAACTCTGCTTTCCTAAAACACTAACACAAAGAGAGAATCTCTCTGGGTTGTCTGGAAGATTCTTCGTCACGTCACCAAGATGAACTTGTTTCCCATCTTCAGACAGTATGAGATCAGGATGTGCTGTATCAGGATCAAGAGTTACATCCACAGCATACTGCTGGACTCTCTTCAGCTCAGCTTGATCCAACAACTTCTTCATCTCTTCACTGAGAGTCTCCTCCAGCTGAGCCACAGCGTTCCTCACAGTCTCCTCATAAAGTGGTTGACAGACATTAACCTCTGTCCAGTCTTTGGTGGGTGGAGCAGAGTTAACAGACTGGACTCTCTGGATTAGATGGAGGTGGTCTTCAGAGCGTGAGAGCTGCTGCACCTCAGTGCTCCTCTTCATCAGCTCACAGATTTCCTGCTCCAGCTCTTTGATGAAAGCTTCGGCCTGTTTCTTTGTTGTTTTCAGCTTCTTGTCGATCGTGTTGATGAACTCGGCCCGGCCTCTCTCAACAGACTCCTTCAGAGCGGTGAAGACTCGAACACCTTCTGCCATCTCTCTGTCTGCATCGTCCTTACTGAGGTCCACTGAGTGTTTGATCTCTTGAATCTTCAGTCGAGTTTTCTGGATCATCTGCTGAATTTCAGCCTCTGTCTCCTCCAGCTCTGCCTTCTTTTCTTCATATTCTTCTTTCAGAGGAACAAACTCGTGTGTCTTGTGGTCTAAAACAGAGCAGAGCATGCAGACACAGGTCTGATCGGTCTTACAGAACAGCTCCAGAGGTTTATCGTGCTTCATACACATCCTGTCCTCCAGGTTCTCCACAGGGTCGATCAGCTGGTGTCTTTTCAGACGTGAAGCTGTCAGATGAGGCTCCAGGTGAGTCTCACAGTAGGAGACCAGACAGTCTAAGCAGGACTTCAGGGCCTTCAGTTTGGTTCCAGTGCAGGCTTCACATAGAACTTCTACTGGTTTGGACTCTTGAAGCTCTGAGCTGCTGCTGCTGCTGGCTTCCTGCTGAGCTTTGTCTCTGAACTGACCAACCATCTCAGAGATGAAAGTGTTGACCCTCAGTTTAGGTCTATTGGTAAAAGCTTCCTTACACATTGGACACCTGTACTGGTCGCTGGTGTTCCAGTGTTCAGTGATGCAATTTTTTCAGAAGTTGTGTCCACATGGTATGGTGACAGGATCATTGAACACATCCAGACAGATGGAGCAGAGAAACTGATCCTCAGATAGCAGAGAGTTTGCAGCAGCCATATCTGGGACAAAATAAAAAAGTTGTTTGATTCATGTTGGAGAAATAAAGAATACAACTTTTCATTCATTTGTAAATCCTCCTCGTCCTTAAAGGTTACCTTCTTCTACTCTACAGAAACAAAGGCCCCATAAAGGACTTCTAATGAGCTCAGAAGTTCAACAGAAAGGTAATCAGCTGTACTCACCTGAAGATCGGCACAAAAATCTTGTAAATTGCTTTAGAGAAAAAGAGAGAGACTTATCAGCGCTGTCTCGTCACCACTCTGACCGAGCTTTCTGTTTGATTTTACTTTAAGCTCGTCTGTCTTATAATTACTTTTGTTCTGCTATTACACAGATGTAGACTTTACTGTTTTGCTGCATACGGACCATCCTTCTTTTTTAAGGTGAGGCTCACTTTGGACTTTGGACCAACCCAGGACAGGAATCTTTATTAACAATAAATGGATTCAAAAGATTCTCATAGTCTATATATATTTCTATACTTCCTACTTCTATATCATGTTTGAGATGTACTGTTACGACCACATTTCACCCCCCGGATTATTAAAGAGACATATGATCCCCCTCCTCCACCTTTTCAAACAGTCCTCCTCCTCCACCTTTTCAAACAGTCCTCCTCTTCCACCTTTTCAAACAGTCCTCTTCCACCTTTTCAAATAGTCCTCCTACTCCACCTTTTCAAACAGTCCTCCTCCTCCACCTTTTCAAACAGTCCTCCTCCACCTTTTCAAATAGTCCTCCTCCTCCACCTTTTCAAACAGTCCTCCTCCTCCACCTTTTCAAACAGTCCTCCTCCACCTTTTCAAACAGTCCTCCTCCACCTTTTCAAACAGTCCTCCTCCACCTTTTCAAACAGTCCCCTCCTCCACCTTTTCAAACAGTCCTCCTCCACCTTTTCAAACAGTCCTCCTCCTCCACCTTTTCAAACAGTCCTCCTCCACCTTTTCAAACAGTCCTCCTCCACCTTTTCAAACAGTCCCCTCCTCCACCTTTTCAAACAGTCCCCTCCTCCACCTTTTCAAACAGTCCTCCTCCACCTTTTCAAACAGTCCTCCTCCACCTTTTCAAACAGTCCTCCTCCACCTTTTCAAACAGTCCTCCTCCACCTTTTCAAACAGTCCCCTCCTCCACCTTTTCAAACAGTCCTCCTCCACCTTTTCAAACAGTCCCCTCCTCCACCTTTTCAAACAGTCCTCCTCCACCTTTTCAAACAGTCCCCTCCTCCACCTTTTCAAACAGTCCTCCTCCACCTTTTCAAACAGTCCCCTCCTCCACCTTTTCAAACAGTCCTCCTCCTCCACCTTTTCAAACAGTCCTCCTCCACCTTTTCAAACAGTCCTCCTCCACCTTTTCAAACAGTCCCTCCTCCACCTTTTCAAACAGTCCTCCTCCACCTTTTCAAACAGTCCTCCTCCACCTTTTCAAACAGTCCTCCTCCACCTTTTCAAACAGTCCTCCTCCACCTTTTCAAACAGTCCCCTCCTCCACCTTTTCAAACAGTCCTCCTCCACCTTTTCAAACAGTCCTCCTCCACCTTTTCAAACAGTCCTCCTCCACCTTTTCAAACAGTCCTCCTCCACCTTTTCAAACAGTCCTCCTCCACCTTTTCAAACAGTCCTCCTCCACCTTTTCAAACAGTCCTCCTCCACCTTTTCAAACAGTCCCCTCCTCCACCTTTTCAAACAGTCCTCCTCCACCTTTTCAAACAGTCCCCCTCCTCCACCTTTTCAAACAGTCCTCCTCCACCTTTTCAAACAGTCCCCTCCTCCACCTTTTCAAACAGTCCCTCCTCCACCTTTTCAAACAGTCCCCTCCTCCACCTTTTCAAACAGTCCCCTCCTCCACCTTTTCAAACAGTCCCCTCCTCCACCTTTTCAAACAGTCCTCCTCCACCTTTTCAAACAGTCCCCTCCTCCACTTTTCAAACAGTCCTCCTCCACCTTTTCAAACAGTCCCCTCCTCCACCTTTTCAAACAGTCCCCTCCTCCACCTTTTCAAACAGTCCCCTCCTCCACCTTTTCAAACAGTCCCCTCCTCCATCTTTTCAAACAGTCCCCTCCTCCACCTTTTCAAACAGTCCCTCCTCCACCCTTTTCAACCGTCCCCTCCTCCACCTTTTCAAACAGTCCCCTCCTCCACCTTTTCAAACAGTCCTCCTCCACCTTTTCAAACAGTCCCCTCCTCCACTTTTCAAACAGTCCTCCTCCACCTTTTCAAACAGTCCCTCCTCCACCTTTTCAAACAGTCCTCCTCCACCTTTTCAAACAGTCCTCCTCCTCCACCTTTTCAAACAGTCCTCCTCACCTTTTCAAACAGTCCTCCTCCACCTTTTCAAACAGTCCTCCTCCTCACCTTTTCAAACAGTCCTCCTCCACCTTTTCAAACAGTCCCTCCTCCACCTTTTCAAACAGTCCTCCTCCACCTTTTCAAACAGTCCCTCCTCACCTTTTCAAACAGTCCTCCTCCACCTTTTCAAACAGTCCCCCTCACCTTTTCAAACAGTCCTCCTCCACCTTTTCAAACAGTCCCCTCCTCCACCTTTTCAAACAGTCCTCCTCCACCTTTTCAAACAGTCCCCTCCACCTTTTCAAACAGTCCCTCCTCCACCTTTTCAAACAGTCCCCTCCTCCACCTTTTCAAACAGTCCCCTCCTCCACCTTTTCAAACAGTCCCCTCCTCCTTTTCAAACAGTCCTCCTCCACCTTTTCAAACAGTCCTCCTCCACCTTTTCAAACAGTCCTCCTCCACCTTTTCAAACAGTCCTCCTCCACCTTTTCAAACAGTCCTCCTCCACCTTTTCAAACAGTCCCTCCTCCACCTTTTCAAACAGTCCCTCCTCCACCTTTTCAAACAGTCCTCCTCCACCTTTTCAAACAGTCCTCCTCCTCCACCTTTTCAAACAGTCCTCCTCCACCTTTTCAAACAGTCCTCCTCCACCTTTTCAAACAGTCCTCCTCCTCCACCTTTTCAAACAGTCTCCTCCTCCACCTTTTCAAACAGTCCTCTCCTCCACCTTTTCAAACAGTCCCCTCCTCCACCTTTTCAAACAGTCCTCCTCCTCCACCTTTTCAAACAGTCCCCTCCTCCACCTTTTCAAACAGTCCTCCTCCACCTTTTCAAACAGTCCCCTCCACCTTTTCAAACAGTCCTCCTCCACCTTTTCAAACAGTCCCCTCCTCCACCTTTTCAAACAGTCCCCTCCTCCACCTTTTCAAACAGTCCCCTCCTCCACCTTTTCAAACAGTCCTCCTCCACCTTTTCAAACAGTCCCCTCCTCCACCTTTTCAAACAGTCCCTCCTCCACCTTTTCAAACAGTCCCTCCTCCACCTTTTCAAACAGTCCTCCTCCTCCACTTTTCAAACAGTCCCCTCCTCCACCTTTTCAAACAGTCCTCCTCCACCTTTTCAAACAGTCCCCTCCTCCACCTTTTCAAACAGTCCTCCTCCACCTTTTCAAACAGTCCCCTCTCCACCTTTTCAAACAGTCCCCTCCTCCACCTTTTCAAACAGTCCCCTCCTCCACCTTTTCAAACAGTCCCTCCTCCACCTTTTCAAACAGTCCCCTCCTCCACCTTTTCAAACAGTCCTCCTCCACCTTTTCAAACAGTCCCCTCCTCCACCTTTTCAAACAGTCCCCTCCACTTTTCAAACAGTCCCTCCTCCACCTTTTCAAACAGTCCTCCTCCACCTTTTCAAACAGTCCTCCTCCACCTTTTCAAACAGTCCCCTCCTCCACCTTTTCAAACAGTCCTCCTCCACCTTTTCAAACAGTCCCCTCCTCCACCTTTTCAAACAGTCCCCTCCCCCACTTTTCAAACAGTCCCCTCCTCCACTTTTTCAAACAGTCCCTCCTCCACTTTTCAAACAGTCCTCCTCCACCTTTTCAAACAGTCCTCCTCCACCTTTTCAAACAGTCCCCTCCTCCACCTTTTCAAACAGTCCCCTCCTCCACTTTTCAAACAGTCCCTCCTCCACTTTTTCAAACAGTCCTCCTCCTCCACTTTTTCAAACAGTCCCCTCCTCCACCTTTTCAAACAGTCCTCCTCCTCCACTTTTTCAAACAGTCCCCTCCTCCACCTTTTCAAACAGTCCCCCTCCTCCACTTTTTCAAACAGTCCCCTCCTCCACTTTTTCAAACAGTCCTCCTCCTCCAAATTTTCAAACAGTCCCCTCCACCTTTTCAAACAGTCCCCTCCTCCACCTTTTCAAACAGTCCCCTCCTCCACCTTTTCAAACAGTCCTCCTCCACCTTTTCAAACAGTCCCCTCCTCCACTTTTTCAAACACCCCCTCCTCCACCTTTTCAAACACCCCTTTTCAAACACCCCCTCCTCCACCTTTTCAAACACCCCTTTTCAAACACCCCCCTCCTCCACCTCTCTCAAAATGCTCTGTTTTGGTGTGTGTGTCTCTTTAAATGTAATGACTCCCCCCCCCCTGAGTTTTCCCCGTAGACATCTGCACACACGTGAACCTGCACAAAAGTTTTGTTCTAGTCTGGGGGTGGAGTCCATGGGTGAAGATACCAGGGGAGGGGTTAACCAGAATCCCACTGTGACATCACAAGGAGAGCACATTAGAAACAGAGCTTCTCTGTGTTGTAAGACTTATGCAGACCACAAACAAAGGACTGGATGGTTTATTTCACATGTTGTGGGTCAGTAGACTCTCAGGTTACCCACATATATGTTCACAAACACTGAAGAAGAGGATTTTTAATGATATGTCCCCTTTAAAGTATTTCTGATTCTGACCCGCTCAGATACTGCTTTTATTCTGAAGGATTCTTCCAACGGAAATAGCACTTGCGCTGTTTCCGCTGTGTCGGTGCGCTTGACGTCAGCTGGTGTGCAGGCAGAGGGAGGCTTCTGCTGAATTCAGGGAACAGAAATGGACAGTCAAGGGAGAAAAGTGGTGGTTTGTGACAACGGAACAGGGGTAAGTCGTGACTGTGGACGACACGGCTGAGTGTCAGCCCGCGTCGCTCTCTGAACCCCGGATGTTTAGTTTGACAAAGGAAACGAATGGAAGTGTAGAAACAGGAAGTAAGAGGATGCTAACAGGCTAACGCGTTAGCTTGCCTCGGTGGGTTGAGGCAGGAATGTGTCTGTCAGCTGGATTCAGCTCATTCATGAAAATGTGCAGCAGAGCTTCTGCAAAGTTTAAATGAACACCCTGACGGTCTCTTCCGGTCTCATCCGGGTTTTAAAGTCTCCACGGAGGGGTCTGTGTGAGGGTCTCTACCCCCTCCTGCAGCAGAGCAGCACACACACACACACACACACACACACACACACACACACACACACACACACACACACACACACACACACACACACACACACACACACACACACACACACACACACACACACATGTATTATGTTATCGTCATTATTGTAACGTTTGATGAATCCGTCTACACCAGGAAAAGCCAAGTGAACCAGTGCGCATGCGCGAGGCTTTGATTGAGGAAGTAGAGACAGTTCTTCCATGTAAGGAAACTTGCTCTGAGCAGTCTGCATGAACCCTGACTAACAGGAAGTAGGTTCAGCTCTGCTTTAACAAAGGCTGTCACCACACGGGTTCTGTGACCATGGAAGAGTTCTGAAGCTGAAAACATGAATATAATAAAAGAGTGAAGAAGAGGAGGGAGTCCATCAGATACACACAGTCCTGCTCACTGTCTGCGCTGTACAGAGGACCATTAGAGACAGACATGAGGATTAAATAACTAGAGGAGGAATGTAGGACCAATCAGTGAGATGATAAAGGTATCTTACTATCTGATCAGACATTAAGGAAACATGTTGAAGTGCTGGCTTCTGTGCTGGACTCTAGAGAGGAGGGGGGGGAGACAGCTCTCTACAATGTTTAGAATTTAGACTGCAGTACCCATTTTAAACACTAGGGGGTCAGTTACATTCTGCTCCTTTAAAGTCACATTTTTTTCCAGTATGAATATCGTTACGTCTGTACTAGTATCATATTGTGATTTAAAGGTCTGGTATCCTGACACAACCTCAGCAAGTATTAATAAAATACATTTATTGTCCCCGTCTGGTCGTGTCGCGCCTCTCTCGGCACCAAGCCGTCAGAGAGACAAACGTTTAATAGTTCTGACACAGAGTCCGTCTCTCTCCAAAGACCACCTCACTTAAACTCTTTACATCTTTCTACAAACACGTCTTGTAATTAATCCTGTTATCTAAATGTTATAAATGTTATAAATCCTTGTTTTTTAATTCCACCGTAGTTTGTGAAGTGCGGCTATGCAGGATCCAACTTCCCCGAGCACATTTTCCCGGCGCTGGTCGGCCGGCCGATCATCCGCTCCACAGCTAAAGTTGGCAACATTGAAATCAAGGTAAGCTTCTTTTTTTTCTTTTGTCATGATGTGTCGCGCTGCTCCTCCAACGGCTGCACTCAGATAATAATAATAATAATAAATTACATTTAGTGCTTTTCTAAATACTCAAAGACACTTTGACAGGAAACAACAAAACGTCTTAACGAGTGTCTTAGCAAGTGTCTCAACGAGTATCTTAGCGTGTCTCAGCGAGTGTCTTAGCGAGTGTCTTAGTGAGTGTCTCAGCGAGTGTCTTAACGAGTGTCTTAGCGAGTGTCTCAGCGAGTGTCTTAACGAGTGTCTTAGTGAGTGTCTCAGCGAGTGTCTCAACGAGTGTCTTAGTGAGTGTCTCAGCGAGTGTCTTAAAGAGTGTCTTAGTGAGTGTCTCAGCGAGTGTCTTAACGAGTGTCTTAGTGAGTGTCTCAGCGAGTGTCTTAACGAGTATCTTAGCGTGTCTCAGCGAGTGTCTTAACGAGTGTCTTAGTGAGTGTCTCAGCGAGTGTCTCAACGAGTGTCTTAGTGAGTGTCTCAGCGAGTGTCTCAACGAGTGTCTTAGTGAGTGTCTCAGCGAGTGTCTTAACGAGTGTCTTAGCGAGTGTCTCAGCGAGTGTCTTAACGAGTGTCTTAGTGAGTGTCTCAGCGAGTGTCTCAACGAGTGTCTTAGTGAGTGTCTCAGCGAGTGTCTCAACGAGTGTCTTAGTGAGTGTCTCAGCGAGTGTCTCAACGAGTGTCTTAGTGAGTGTCTCAGCGAGTGTCTCAACGAGTGTCTTAGTGAGTGTCTCAGCGAGTGTCTCAACGAGTGTCTTAGTGAGTGTCTCAACGAGTGTCTTAACGAGTGTCTTAGTGAGTGTCTCAGCGAGTGTCTCAACGAGTGTCTTAGCGAGTGTCTTAGCGAGTGTCTCAGCGAGTGTCTCAACGAGTGTCTCAGCGAGTGTCTCAACGAGTGTCTCAGCGAGTGTCTCAGCGAGTGTCTCAGCGAGTGTCTCAGTGAGTGTCTTAGCGAGTGTCTCAGCAAGTGTCTCAACGAGTATCTTAGTGTGTCTTAGTGAGTGTCTTAGCGAGTGTCTCAGCAAGTGTCTCAACGAGTATCTTAGTGTGTCTCAGTGAGTGTCTTAGCGAGTGTCTCAGCAAGTGTCTCAACGAGTATCTTAGTGTGTCTTAGCGAGTGTCTCAGCGAGTGTCTCAACGAGTGTCTCAGCGAGTGTCTTAGCGAGTGTCTCAGCGAGTGTCTCAACGAGTGTCTCAACGAGTGTCTTAGCGAGTGTCTCAGCGAGTGTCTTAGTGAGTGTCTTAGCGAGTGTCTCAGCAAGTGTCTCAACGAGTATCTTAGTGTGTCTTAGCGAGTGTCTTAGCGAGTATCTCAGCAAGTGTCTCAACGAGTATCTTAGTGTGTCTTAGCGAGTGTCTTAGCGAGTGTCTCAACGAGTATCTTAGTGTGTCTCAGCGAGTGTCTCAACGAGTATCTTAGCGTGTCTTAACGAGTGACTTGGCGAGTGTCTTAACAAGTGTCTCAGCGAGTGTCTCAGCGAGTGTCTCAGCAAGTGTCTCAACGAGTATCTTAGTGTGTCTTAGCGAGTGTCTTAGTGAGTGTCTCATTTCAGTCTCAGTAGACTTCTTATGAGCCACGTTTACAAACTATGAGGCCTGAAATGTTTGTCCTCGTTCATCCTGACGAGATGTCTCCCCATTAGTAGATTCTTTTCACTCATCACAGTCCAGGCCTCGTCCCCTTTTTTAACAATATGAGATGACTGTGAGGGGCAGTCCTCCTGAAACTCTCTGAAACCTTTTTAACATCATGAGATGACTGTGAGGGGCAGTCCTCCTGAAACTCTCTGAAACCTTTTTAACATCATGAGATGACTGTGAGGGGCAGTCCTCCTGAAACTCTCTGAAATTTTTCATGTGTGAAAATAAAAAAGACAGTAGAGAAATAATTTGGTAAACTAGCGGCTGAGATAAAAAAAACATCTGCTGGTCCAAAGTGTGCCCCTCAGTCTGATGACCTGTGACCTCCTGCAGGACCTGATGGTGGGGGACGAGGCCAGCGAGCTGCGCTCCATGCTGGAGGTGAACTACCCCATGGAGAACGGCATCGTCAGGAACTGGGACGACATGAAGCACCTGTGGGACTACACGTTCGGCCCCGAGAAACTCAACATCAACTCCCGCGACTGCAAGATCCTCCTGACCGAGCCGCCCATGAACCCCACCAAGAACCGGGAGAAGATCATCGAGGTGAGCTGCTGGGACATTCCAGATGTTCTCTGACTCTTTAGGGGGGGTTTGTCATAAGAGACCTGCCAGATGAGGACGTAGGAAGAGGGTCGTCGTTGGCGTCTCAGAAATAACAAACAACATCCACAGATAGAAGGATGGACTCAGTGCAGGAGTGGTTGCCATGGTTACTTATTCTTCTATCTGCTTATTGGCGGATCTGAATGACCAACTTTGTGCACACTGAGGTGTACTCGGGGGCGGTGCAATGTTACTGATGTGAAGGGGGGGAGGGGGCGGGGCAGTGTGAAAACGCCCCTCACTTATTTTAACGCTCTGCATGGCTAACACGCTGCAGAGTCTCTGGAAGATGGCGGTCAGGTGTCGCTCTTTCTTTGATGTGCTGGTTAACGGACGCTCTCTCTCCCGTCAGGTGATGTTTGAAACGTACCAGTTCACGGGCGTTTATATCGCCATCCAGGCCGTCCTCACTCTCTACGCTCAAGGTTCGTCTTTCTTCTTTTCACTGAAACTATCGAAGCTGGATTGTCCTGACGATTATCTGTGAACCTTTAGACGAAAACGCCACTGTGGCTTCAGGATGCCGTACCGTAAAGATACATTTACAACCATTACAACGCCCTTTTCTTCCTTCAGGACTGCTGACCGGCGTGGTGGTGGACTCCGGCGACGGCGTGACTCACATCTGTCCGGTGTACGAAGGTTTCTCTCTGCCTCATCTGACCCGACGTCTGGACATCGCAGGAAGGGACATCACGCGCTACCTCATCAAGGTACCTCACAGACGCCACGTGTTATTTATCATTTTATTTAGATTTGTTTTTGGGGCTTTTATTGTGACAGGACAGTGGATTGAGTTTAGAAACCAGGTTGCCATGGACTTCGATTCATGTTGCCGTGGTAACGAAACTGTTACTTTAACGATTTTAACAAGAACCGTGCTGACGTTTTCAAAATGTGGTATCGTGACTGCAGCCCTCGGATCCATTTGTCACATAGTCTGTGTGCCTCTTCCTGTTTGCTCCCACGTTGTCAAGAGACTGTTGTCATAGAGACAGGACTGTCGTCATAGAGACAGGACTGTCGTCATAGAGACAGGACTGTTGTCATAGAGGCAGAACGGGACAGGACGGATGTGCAGCACTTTTCTTCTCAGCACACAGTTTTCCTAAAGCAAAACAAAAAACATAGGTGGACACAGAGCTGAACAGCTCGATGAGACAAACTGGGACAGACGCTGTCAAGATTACATTGTTATTCAACCTCTCTCTCTGTCTCTCTCTCTGTCTCTCTCTCTGTCTCTCTCTCTGTCTCTCTCTCTGTCTCTCTCTCTCTGTCTCTCTCTCTCTCTCTCTCTCTCTGTCTCTCTCTCTGTCTCTCTCTCTGTCTCCATCTCTCTCTGTCTCTCTCTCTGTCTCTCTCTCTGTCTCTCTCTCTCTCTGTCTCTCTCTCTGTCTCTCTCTCTGTCTCCATCTCTCTCTGTCTCTCTCTCTGTCTCTCTCTCTCTCTGTCTCTCTCTCTGTCTCTCTCTCTGTCTCCATCTCTCTCTGTCTCTCTCTCTGTCTCTCTCTCTGTCTCTCTCTCTCTCTGTCTCCATCTCTCTCTGTCTCTCTCTCTCTGTCTCTCTCTCTGTCTCTCTCTCTGTCTCTCTCTCTCTGTCTCTCTCTCTGTCTCTCTCTCTGTCTCCATCTCTCTCTGTCTCTCTCTCTCTCTGTCTCTCTCTCTCTCTGTCTCTCTCTCTCTCTCTCTGTCTGTCTCTCTCTCTGTCTCTCTCTCTCTCTCTCTCTCTGTCTCTGTCTGTCTCCCTCTCTCTCTCTCTCTCTGTCTCTGTCTCTGTCTCTGTCTCTCTCTCTCTCTCTCTCTCTCTCTCTCTCTCTCTGTCTCTCTCTCTCTCTCTTCTCTCTGTCTCTCTCTGTCTCTCTCTCTCTCTCTCTCTCTGTCTCTCTCTCTGTCTCTCTCTCTCTCTCTGTCTGTCTCTCTCTCTCTGTCTGTCTCTCTCTCTCTCTCTCTCTCTCTCTCTCTCTCTCTCTCTGTCTCTCTCTCTCTCTCTCTCTCTCTCTCTCTCTCTCTCTCTCTCTCTCTGTCTCTCTCTGTCTCTCTCTCTCTCTCTCTCTCTCTCTCTCTCTCTCTCTCTCTCTCTCTGTCTCTCTCTCTCTCTCTGTCTCTCTGTCTCTCTCTCTGTCTCTCTCTCTCTCTCTCTCTCTCTGTCTCTCTCTCTCTCTCTCTCTCTCTCTCTCTCTCTCTCTCTCTCTCTCTGTCTCTCTCTCTCTCTCTCTCTCTCTCTCTCTCTCTCTGGTTTTATAGATAAATATTTTTGTGTTTGCTCCTCCAGCTGCTGCTGCTGAGAGGTTACGCCTTCAACCACTCGGCCGACTTCGAGACGGTGAGGATGATGAAGGAGAAGCTTTGCTACGTGGGTTACAACATCGAGCAGGAGCAGAAGCTGGCGCTGGAGACCACGGTGCTGGTCGAGTCGTACACGGTCAGTTTTCTATTTCTAGTTTTCTTCTCTGCTCATCAAACAGCTGTGAACGTGTTTTAAAGATGTCAACATGTCATGTTTCTGCAGCTCCCAGACGGACGGGTGATAAAGGTCGGCGGTGAGCGCTTTGAAGCCCCCGAGGCGCTGTTTCAACCTCACCTCATCAACGTGGAGGGAGTGGGCGTGGCCGAGCTGCTCTTTAACACCATCCAGGCCGCAGATATCGACACCAGGTGAGCCGTCCGGGGAGGGGCCCTGAGGTTGAGAATCTAATGGATGATGTCATCAGTCATACATAGGGTTGCAAAATTGAAGGTTGGCCCTGAACAGGGAACTTAAATATAGTTGGAGAAAATCTATTTTAGCATAATCTTGACTAAAACAGCCAGATTTCATGCAGGGACACTTGCTCAATATCTACATCCATACAGTAATTAGCTAGCTGATTAGCTACATGCTAAGTAAGCTATAGCTAGCATCACTTCATTTACCATTTATGAGGCTATCTATGACAAAACAAAATGTTAATATTTATACTTGTTTATGATAATGTTTGATTAAATTACCCTCACTTTCCAAATAATTCCCATTTATTTCCACAATTTTGGATTTGGAATATTTCTAAAATTCCCCACCTTAACTTCCCATGGAAAGTTTCTGCAAATTAACCAGAGATTTTTTTCCACCCCTTTGCTACCGTAGTCGTACATTACGTGTGGTTTTGTCTGTCTCTCGTCAGGTCTGAGTTCTACAAACACATCGTCCTGTCCGGAGGCTCCACCATGTACCCCGGCCTGCCTTCCCGCCTGGAGCGAGAGCTGAAGCAGCTGTACCTGGAGCGGGTGCTGAAGGGAGACGTCGACAAGCTATCGGTGAGTTCACGTTAAGGCGAGCAACAGGAGGAGGGAGTCAGCGGCTTCCTGCTTAGATCTGATCTTAGACCAAGTCATTCACTGAGTCGTTTTACAGAAGCGTTGTGGTGAAGAGCGAGCTGAGCCTGAAGGTGAAGCTCTCCATTCACCGCTCAAACTTTGTTCCAACCCTCTCCTGTGGTCATGACTTCTGGGTAGAGACTGGAAGAATACGTTCACCGATACGAGTGTCTGAAATGAATTTCCTCTGGAGGGTGTCTGGGCTCAGACTTAGAGAGGGGGGAGGAGCTTAGACATTCAGGGGGAGGAGCTCGGAGTAGAGGTGCTGCTCCTTCGGTTCAGGCATCCTCCTGGACGCCTCTCTGGGACGTCCACCTGGGAGGAGACCCCCGGGGGTAGTCCCAGATGTCCCCGTTTCCTCTCTGAATGAGACACAGTTTTTGTCAACATGTTTTGCTTCTGTTCTGTTTTTTTCAGGGACTTTGAGAAAATGTTTGCTTTGATACTCTCAGTAATTTAATGTTTCACTTTCACTCGATGGTGTTTAGAAATACTGTGAAAGAATGTCTCAGAGATCTCCTGTTTTTGTGCAGTTACTGTGTTCACCACTAGAGGGTGCCAAAGCCTAAAGCTTAAAACACTTCAAATGAATTGTCCTGGTCCCGTGTGGACATCTGGATGTTCTCGACTCGCCCAAATCCTCCAGCCTGTGATTAAGAAACACTCTGAGTTTGCTCTCTGCTGACGCCCCTCTGCTCGTCTTTCCACAGAAATTCAAGATCAGGATAGAAGACCCCCCTCGCCGTAAGCACATGGTGTTCCTGGGCGGCGCCGTGCTGGCCGACATCATGAAGGACAAGGACAACTTCTGGATGACACGGGACGAGTACCAGGAGAAAGGGACGCGCGTGCTGGAGAAGCTCGGAGTCACCGTCAGATAAAACACAAACAAAAACAAAAACACTTCCTCCCATGAGTCCCTCCATCCGCCCCCCCACCCCCCCCCCGCCCCCCCGCCTGCTGATATCCACGCAACGCTCACCCTGAAGTCTACGGATGGACGCTCTCTGCCTCAAAAGCAAAGAACGGAGGATGCAAGGAAGGAAGGAAGGAAGGGAACGAGGGATTATGAAGGATGATGTGGAGTTTGGGGTAAGACGTCTCAAAGCGGCGAGCGCTGTGACCTTTTCAAATATTTGACCCCAGACTCGAGAGAAAAATAACAAGTTCACTTCTGCAGAAGCAACACAGCCGAGTTTAAAGGAGCAGTGCCACATTCCAGAAGATGATGACAATGATACCAGTCTTATTGACGGAGGAGACGGTTAGCTTAGCATTAAAACGCTCTCACTGGTGGAGCCCCCCCCCCCCACTTAGTCTCAGTCATTTAATCTGACAGTAAAACTGAACATGTAAAGGTCCTTTAAACTTAATGTTTGTAAACACAAGATTCAAACTAGGCCCCTCCTCCTCTAGAAGCCCCGCCCCCTGCAGGAAGTAGTGTGTACGTTTACTGCTTGTAGCTACACTGCAAGCTAACGCACGCTAGCACAAGCTAACCGCCGGTGTTTGTCACCTTCCTGTCCAACAGGAAGTAGATCAACTCCACGTCCAACACAAGGTTCACCCTCGTTTCAGAACGATCTTTATCCACTTGGTGTTTCTCCTCACTCTCATTATATTTTCTCTTCTTTGATGCTACGTCCACGTCCGTCATATTCACCGCTTTGAATCTCGTCCAATCACTGAATAGTATCCACTCCTAAACTCACCTGCTGCGCTGTCATTGGCTGGAGGAAACACACCAGCTCCGCCCCCAGAAACGTCCCGAGTCAACCAGAACAAATCAGAACAGTAAAATCCAGTGAGAGGACAGAGTCTCTGCAGACACAGTCACCACCACACATGTATGAAGTCTGTATTTTATTTTGAAGGTCCCTACATAAGTCTGTATTTTATTTTGAAGGTCTCTTCCTCTTCCTCCTCGTCTCGACCTCGATGACCTGAAGTGAATCGTTTCTGCTTTAGTGTAACAGAATCCTGAAGAGTATTATTGTGACATGATGAGTCTGATGTCAGGACATGGTGACCACGTCAAAGCTGGTATTTGTGGTTCTCCGTCTGCCTTGTCCTGTGAGGCTCACACACACACACACACACACACACACACACACACACACACACACACACAGTGCCAACTGCAGCTCTTCTCCGCTGGTTTTTTTCTTTTTTTTTTGGTCGTCCTTTTTATGTTTTGTTTATGTCATAAATGCCAAACAGCTGATTGAAATAAAGCAAAGTGATTTATAGACGCCTGGTGTCCTCGTGTCTTAAATACGCAGATGACGCCGTCCTCTGCAAAATGGGATTACGGTGCATTCAAGTGGTGTCGGACACATTGGAAAAACGAGTTTTCCGCTCAAGTTGGAACAACAACTCGGAAACTCCGGAAAGAATTAGCTGCCTTGGAGAAAGGACAGACACTGAATCAACAGGACGGGTTAGAGAACGTGTTTTCATTTGTCACAGCACGGCTCTTACTGGGACAAAGCTGGGAGACACACGGGTATAATAATTAATCACGTCTATTATTCACCTGGAAAATTATCCAAAGTGTAGCTGTAGATTTGAAGAACCTGTGCTGGGTCTCATCTGATCACCTGCTCCCCCTCTTCAATGCAGAGCGGGACGTCACACATTCTGAGGAAGCCTGCACCCAACACCAGGGCCCTTTCTGAATATCCACAGTTCAGTAGTCAGTACTTTTCAGTAGGAGGACATTCATTCATAGTCATTCAGTGGTCATTTTTTGGGTCCACCTCAGTATACTGAACATATCAGTATGGAAACTAACTTCCTGGTTTCATGCAGTATGGATCGGATGCATCCTTTCAGGAAATGAGTTGTATTTTACCCACAATGCAGTGCAAAATTAAACGTAAATCGTCACGTCACGTCCGCCTCCAAATCAAAACAAACGAGCGTGGATTAATAGAATCAATTTTTAATCTAGAGTTAAAGTCCCGACTGAAATCACTACTTTAAATTAACAACAGAAAACAAAACAAATATCTGCATTATTATAAAACCTTTCTCCCTCCCTATTTAAATAATGATTTAACTATTTAAATAATGATGTCACTATTTAAATAATGATTTCACTATTTAAATAATGATTTAACTATTTAAATAATGATTTCACTATTTAAATGTCTTTATTGGTTTATTTTATATTCTGTATATTACTGTCTTTCATTTGTTCTTTATGTACTGTATGTTATTTAGTTATTTAATCTTTTACTTGATTTACATTGTGATATTGTTTGTTGTTTACCTGACTGTATATGAGCATTACTCTTCTTGAATGAAGAAAAACAAAAAAAAAAACGGGTGAATGCGGCCGGTTCGGGAAACGTAAATGACGTCACTTCCTTACTGAATGAATCAGAAGAAGTAGGAACAAATATCTGCCTACTGAATAGTAGGTACTAACAGTATACAGCAGATAGTAGGTACTAAACAGTATACAGCAGATAGTAGGTACTAAACAGTAAACAGCAGATAGTAGGTACTAAACAGTAAACAGCAGATAGTAGGTACTAAACAGTAAACAGCAGATAGTAGGTACTAAACAGTAACAGCAGATAGTAGGTACTAAACAGTAAACAGCAGATAGTAGGTACTAAACAGTATACAGCAGATAGTAGGTACTAACAGTATACAGCAGATAGTAGGTACTAAACAGTATACAGCAGATAGTAGGTACTAAACAGTAAACAGCAGATAGTAGGTACTAAACAGTATACAGCAGATAGTAGGTACTAAACAGTAAACAGCAGATAGTAGGTACTAAACAGTATACAGCAGATAGTAGGTACTAAACAGTAAACAGCAGATAGTAGGTACTAAACAGTATACAGCAGATAGTAGGTACTAAACAGTAAACAGCAGATAGTAGGTACTAAACAGTAAACAGCAGATAGTAGGTACTAAACAGTAAACAGCAGATAGTAGGTACTAAACAGTAAACAGCAGATAGTAGGTACTAAACAGTAAACAGCAGATAGTAGGTACTAAACAGTATACAGCAGATAGTAGGTACTAAACAGTAAACAGCAGATAGTAGGTACTAACAGTATACAGCAGATAGTAGGTACTAAACAGTAAACAGCAGATAGTAGGTACTAAACAGTAAACAGCAGATAGTAGGTACTAAACAGTAAACAGCAGATAGTAGGTACTAAACAGTATACAGCAGATAGTAGGTACTAAACAGTATACAGCAGATAGTAGGTACTAAACAGTAAACAGCAGATAGTAGGTACTAAACAGTAAACAGCAGATAGTAGGTACTAAACAGTATACAGCAGATAGTAGGTACTAAACAGTAAACAGCAGATAGTAGGTACTAAACAGTAAACAGATAGTAGGTACTAAACAGTATACAGCAGATAGTAGGTACTAAACAGTATACAGCAGATAGTAGGTACTAAACAGTAAACAGCAGATAGTAGGTACTAACAGTATACAGCAGATAGTAGGTACTAAACAGTATACAGCAGATAGTAGGTACTAACAGTAAACAGCAGATAGTAGGTACTAAACAGTAAACAGCAGATAGTAGGTACTAAACAGTAAACAGCAGATAGTAGGTACTAAACAGTAAACAGCAGATAGTAGGTACTAAACAGTATACAGCAGATAGTAGGTACTAAACAGTAAACAGCAGATAGTAGGTACTAAACAGTAAACAGCAGATAGTAGGTACTAAACAGTATACAGCAGATAGTAGGTACTAAACAGTATACAGCAGATAGTAGGTACTAAACAGTAACAGCAGATAGTAGGTACTAAACAGTATACAGCAGATAGTAGGTACTAAACAGTATACAGCAGATAGTAGGTACTAAACAGTAAACAGCAGATAGTAGGTACTAAACAGTAAACAGCAGATAGTAGGTACTAAACAGTATACAGCAGATAGTAGGTACTAAACAGTAAACAGCAGATAGTAGGTACTAAACAGTATACAGCAGATAGTAGGTACTAAACAGTATACAGCAGATAGTAGGTACTAAACAGTATACAGCAGATAGTAGGTACTAAACAGTATACAGCAGATAGTAGGTACTAAACAGTAAACAGCAGATAGTAGGTACTAAACAGTAAACAGCAGATAGTAGGTACTAAACAGTAAACAGCAGATAGTAGGTACTAAACAGTATACAGCAGATAGTAGGTACTAAACAGTAAACAGCAGATAGTAGGTACTAACAGTATACAGCAGATAGTAGGTACTAAACAGTATACAGCAGATAGTAGGTACTAAACAGTAAACAGCAGATAGTAGGTACTAAACAGTAAACAGCAGATAGTAGGTACTAAACAGTAAACAGCAGATAGTAGGTACTAAACAGTAACAGCAGATAGTAGGTACTAAACAGTATACAGCAGATAGTAGGTACTAAACAGTAAACAGCAGATAGTAGGTACTAAACAGTAAACAGCAGATAGTAGGTACTAAACAGTATACAGCAGATAGTAGGTACTAAACAGTATACAGCAGATAGGTACTAAACAGTATACAGCAGATAGTAGGTACTAAACAGTATACAGCAGATAGTAGGTACTAAACAGTATACAGCAGATAGTAGGTACTAAACAGTAAACAGCAGATAGTAGGTACTAAACAGTAAACAGCAGATAGTAGGTACTAAACAGTACAGCAGATAGTAGGTACTAAACAGTAAACAGCAGATAGTAGGTACTAAACAGTATACAGCAGATAGTAGGTACTAAACAGTATACAGCAGATAGTAGGTACTAAACAGTATACAGCAGATAGTAGGTACTAAACAGTAAACAGCAGATAGTAGGTACTAAACAGTATACAGCAGATAGTAGGTACTAAACAGTATACAGCAGATAGTAGGTACTAAACAGTAAACAGCAGATAGTAGGTACTAAACAGTAAACAGCAGATAGTAGGTACTAAACAGTATACAG